GAGGTCGAGGTGGTGGGGAAAGCACAAAGGCACCAGTGGGTGGGTGGGTGGGTGGATGGAGAAGGGGAAAGAGATCCGAGCGGCACTGCTCCTGCTGCTGGAAAGGATGCTGATCGGTCCCTGTACCTGGGCAGGGGGATGCTGAGCGGTCCCTGTACCTGGGCAGGGGGATGCTGAGCGGTCCCTGGGTGAAGGGATGATGTGTGGTCCCCTTCCAGGGCCCTGACACACTCCCCACCCTCCCTAAGGAGTACAGACCCATCACTCAGCACTGGGCATTTCATGGGGGGATCAAACAGTGGGTACCACAATGTTCCCAGCTCACACCTTGGCACTCCCACCCACCACAACCAAGGGAATGGAAACAACCTCCTAAAATATCTGAAACAAATTGGACTTGACTGTTTCTCTTGGTGCAATTACATGTCTACCCCTTCCGGCTCTCCTCCTCCTCCCTCCCTCATCTCATTCTCACTCTCCACCCAGGTTTAATTTAACCACGAAGGCATCCTTGTGTGAGGAGTGTGTTTCTCCACCCTCCTTGCAGATTCCCAGAGTGTTCCCGTGCATGCCCGTGCAGCTGCGGAGCTGCCTGCCCGCTGCCTGCTCTCCTGCCCTGCGCCGGCACAGCCTCACGGTGCTGCTTAGCTCTGCTGTGAGATGCAGAGTGACGCATGGCTGCTGGCAGAGCTGCTCGCAGCTCCCTGTGATCAGTTAATTAGCTTTCTGTGCTATTATTATGTCGTCATGGTGAATCTACCCACTCCTCCGATCAGAGAGGGGAGAACGGGGGAAGCTGTAATTAGAGTGAATCTCATTAGAAACTGCTTCATCTGATCAGGCTCCCCCACACCCCCGGGTACAATTGAAGTTCATTGCCTCCGAACAGTCCAAGCAAAACAAAGTGCACAGCGTGACCCCGCGTGAAGGATGGGGCCATTCATGTGCTGCCGCTTGCTTTGTTTAAGTTTCTGCTCGCCTGCCGTAATCAGAACATACAGACAACTCAAAACTCTTCCAGGTTTTGCAGGTCAGTACCTGCAGGTTGCCTGAGTATAATCATATATTTACGGGATGCCATGGCAGGGCTGTTCTGCTCTCAGGCCAGCTCGCAGGCTGCTTCTGCTGCCGGTAACCTGTGTGCGTCTGAGGATGCAACCTGGCATCTTGGCTTCAGATATGGGAAGAACTGTTGGCAGATGGGTGACAGTGCTTAGCACTCAGAGAGTTCATCTGTGCTTGAAGACCTCGGCATGTCCAGACCTCCTGACGCACCATTCTAGGATGGACCTGGAGTAAGCACTGCCAATATCCCAACACGCTCCCGCGCCTGAACGCCCACAGCTCCCGTATCAGAGAACCTCTCAGTCTTCCAGATGAGAAATCCACCTCCAGGGCTCTTTACATTCCCAGAAACTTCCTCGATTCCTCCTGGGAAGCCTGAGCGAGGATCTGAGCGGCACATCCCTTTGCACATCACACCGCCTTGCTCAGGTTCCCGCGCAGGCTGTGCCCACGCTCTGAACCGCATCCTGCCATCAACCCACACGTGTGCGGTACAGGGCACGGGTGTGTACGGGATGCACACAGATGTACGCTGCTTGTATCTTTTTTTAACTTAGCGCCAAAAAAACACATTAAACCCTGCAAATGTCAACTCTGAGTTTACAGTGCTGGGTAAAAAGCAAATTTGCCACAGAAATCACAGAGGAGAGTTATGGCTGTGCAGGTTTCTCAGCAGAAGGCATGTACAGGAACCCACCCCTCGCTCAGACCGTTGCTAGGAGGTTGGGGTACCCACAGCAGTGGCTGCAATAAAAGTAACACAAGCTGTTGATCTGTGAAAGGAGAAACTAGAACTTACCCGTAGAATTCACAAGTCTGGTTTCCCAGGAGCACCGACACGCGGCTGCCAGCTCCCAGGTAGTGCCCGGAGATGGTCACCATTGTCCCTCCAGACTCCGGCCCACGGCTGGGATTCAGAAAGCTCACTGCTGGAGTCTGCAGGAAGAAAAGGACAAAGTCAGCGCTCGTGCCTGCTGCAAGGGGAGCCAGCAGCCACCCAGGGTCCGTGCCAGCTGGAGAAGCACTGTCCCCCAAGCAGAGCATCTTCTCATCTTTGGCTGCGTGGTGATACCCTTTTTTAGAATGAAAAAGCAAAATGGAGAGGTGTCCTGGACATCTGACAAATTTCCTGTTAAATTTTCCAACCCAGCTCTGAAAGAGAGACATGCCTCAACAAAACAATTGCAAATTTAGCCTCAGCAAAAGTATGTGTTTACCTTCAACTTTGTTCTCGATCAAAAGTAAGCTGCTTGCACTGCAGTTTCCAAAACCAAACACATCCCAAGCCGAGCAAACTGCCACGATGGAAATTTGAACCCAAACATTTACAGTTTGCCAACGTGGTAAAGCACCAAAACCACCCCACTGGGGTCCGGTAATGGGGACCACTGGACACCTTTAGCAGACAGGCAGTGCCACCAGCTCCAGCTTCCTGTGAGCCACCAGCGACAGCACTGCGGGGGCAGAGCCTGGTCCCCATTGTTGATGGAAAGACGTCTATGGTGGGTGGACTTAGATCCCACTCGATGTTTTATTGGTGATATTATTGCAGCAACACCACCTCTTTATCCTGCCTTGCAACACGATAGCTATTTACTCCCCTTAATAGAATTTTCAGAAAGCAGGCACCTTTTTATTTGTTTTCAATCAGTGGATATTACCAAATTGTTTTCCTAATTCTTTCCCATTACCCTCTTTCTGACTCTCATCTGCACAGGCTGGCAGCCTCCCAGCTCCGCTCCCCTGGTACCCCCTGCTTGGCAGCTCCGTCAGTTTGTCCTGTTTTCTCTACTGTTTTCCCATCGCAACATGTGTTTTCTGGGTGCTGCAGCATTTGCCAAAGCAGCTTAGACCAAAAGCCTGTTTGACTCCTCAATAGACCAGAGGAAAACACACAGTTCACCCTGTTGGGGATAATTATCAAATAATGGGCAGGAGGGAAAGATTTGTCCTTCCACTGCTCATGGTCAGCTCACAGCTCTAATCCCGACTGGGGTGAGGAGTCAGACTCGATGATCCTCATGGCTCCCTCCAGCTCAGGATATTCTGTGATTATCCCAGCTGATGGCAATGCCGGACAATACGAATGACACTAGGCAGGCTTGGGAGCACTTCACACAACCAAGATGAGCAATTCCAAAACGCAGAAAACCTCCAAAGGATGTTCAATGTGTGATTGCCCATCAAAAACCTCCCTCAGCCTCCAGCCAGCCCTGGCGACTGTTCTCAAGGTAAATTAGGAACAAGGTGCGATGCTGCCAAAACCAGGAACTCAGGCTGTAACCCTGAGCGGTCCTTGTGAACATGGAAAAGCCAGGAGAGCTGAGGGTCCATCCTAGAGCCCTGTAGAAACACCCAAGGCTGGGCTTCGGATGAGGGTCTGAAAGCTAAATAAGAATTTTCCACCTTCAGCTCCTGATTTGGTGACAGATTTACCGAGATAAAGGGGTGTGATGAAGGTGAGAGCATCGCTCCCGCGCGGGATGAGCTCTCTGAGGCACGGACCCTCCCAGGGTCAGAACACAGCTCTGCTCTAAGGTACCAATCAATTTTACTACTGCCTTTAACGGCATGAACCAGCTGTAATGGAATTTGTGGCAGCGCTAAGGAGAAAAATAGAGGCCAACTAGCAAAAGGAAATGATGTGCTCGAAGTTTTAGGTGCCTGGGAAAAAGAAACGATATAATCAGGGGAAGCGCTGAAAATCAGAAGCAACAATGCAAAGGATGATAACACTCGGCACATGCTCACCAGGTTGCTGCAAAGTGTTACTCCAGGATTCATCTCTGCAATTACCTTCCACTGGCTCTTATTTAACACAAAGCAAGAGAGCATCCTCCTCGTGCCGCATGGGAACCCACCCTTCAATAACGGCAGATCCGGGGGCTATTCTGGGAGAGCCCTAGGATGATCAGAGGGGTTTCTGGCATATTCAAGCAAAACCCAGTGGTATTTTGCACCCCTGCTATGTTGTTGAATAAATGAAATCCCAGTGGAGGGTGCTGCTCACAACGCCGGCAGGGTGGCAGGGTCAGCCTGATTTATCTCGCAATTAGTTTACAAACTGCGGACAATTGGTGGGTGCTGGCAACCCTGCACACAGAGCCCACCGAGCACAAAATCAATGCGGCGGGATGAAGCGGAGATACGAGCAACCTCAGCCGTGGCTTTTACATTATGAATCAAAAGGCTGCTAATTAAACAACAGAAAGAAACGACCCAGTGGAAGCCCATGCTTCCAATCACGGGGAAAGCAGGAGGAAAACACGGGAAATTTGGGAATCCCATCCATTTGACACGTACGCTTGTGGAGCACGGCTGTTCCTGGGGGGATGCGTCCTGCCCCCTCGTCCCTACCCCAGTGGGACACTCACCACGAACATGTACTGCTGCGCCGACTTGGCCGTGAACTCCGGCTTGCACTCTCCGATGCACAGGAGCACTGGGCCGGAGCTGATCCCTGGGAGCGCCTGCCCCATTTCACAGACGATCCTGGAAGCAGAAAAGCCGCAAGTGAGGCTTTGGCAGGAGGTGCCACCAGTGCCACTCTATGCAAGGCTGACTTGCTTTTTTTATTCCTTTCCCCCCCCCACCCTCTTTAACTTTGATATCTGGAAAAAGTTAATTACTGAGTCTATTTTTACCCCATGTAGTAATTTAAAGAAAAAAAAAATCTAAATTAGACAAAATTATTACAAGCTGTAAACTCCAGAGCAAAGCAGAGCACTAATGGTAATATATTAGCCGGTAGCAAAGTGAGTGCGAAGTCCTCAGAGTAACGGATGAGTTCATTAAGGGAACGGCTCACACTGCAGTCTCCCAGTTAATCAAAAATGGAGAAATCTGCTCGGGGATGATAGAGACAGCGGCGGAGAGCAGCCTTTGCAGGGGAGACGGGGCTGGCTGACACAGAGCAGAGTGATCCTGGAAAAAGGGGTGAGTGGCACCGAAGGACACAGATGGCGTGGTCCTGGTGTGGCCAAGCACAGCCCCAGGGCACATCCCGGGGCAGGGATTGAGAGCCGCGAGGGGAGAAGGAGCCGGAGCATCCTTTCCCCGCTGAGGCTGCAGGTGCTTTTGCAAAGCGGCGGGGGAAACGCTCGCTCTTCTACCGATCACGTGCAAATACACGAGAGGCTCCAATTTGTGAAGGCAGCGTTTCAGCTGCCTTCAGCAGCATTACACTCACTGCAAATAAAATAAAAAGACTAAAGGAAAAACGAACCTGCAGACAGCACGCACAGGTGATGCCAGGAGGCCTAATGAAACACAAACACGCTGGTAAAGAGCTCTAATGTGCAAGCCCTTATTACCGCACATCAAAACAGGTTGCCTAGAGAGACGCTGCCTTTGGAGAACAGGAACTGAAGCATCTCAGCTGTGTGCCTTCCTCTGCCACGTGCTCCTCTCCCTGCCTCCCAACCAGCCATCGCCCGTGTGCACCGCTCCTCTGCCTGCCAGGTCGTTCCTTCTCCTCCTGCAAACCGGCAGCGGGGCGAGGGTGGGGGGCTGGCATCTGGGGTGGATATCTCTGCTCCTGCCAGCCCATGGGCAAGCAGAGCAAGGTGAAGTGATTCCTGACACCCCGGGGGCAGGAGAGGAGAGCGGAGGTTTCTATACACCAAGTGCTATATGCGGGGGGAAACATCAAATACTCAACTATTTGCCAGGAAAGCAGCAGCTGCCGTACAGCACCAGGCATGACGGGGTGCAGGATGGGGCAGAGCGACCCGGTACACCTGATCCTGATTCCCAATACAAGCCAGACTCCCAGCAGGTACCTTGTTACAAAATGATGCATTCTGCAGAGCTGTAGGGTGCTGATTGCTGGGCTAAGTGGCCCTTTCACCAACATTAACCTAATTGCTGGCTGATAGATTGTGTGGCTGGAGCATATGGTGAGTCATTACAGTCTTGGAATTCAGTCTGCCCACAGAACCCTTAAGAGGGTCCTTTTATCTGTATTCATCTTTAAAAGGCAGCTCTCATGCTAACTCTTGCTGTTATCTGCCCAGGGTAAATGTTTTAATGATGTTAACAAACTTTGAAAGCTCAAGAGCCGTAATTAGAGTCGTGATTATAAAATCAGGGTTTCATTCCATCAAAGGAGGATAATTTTATAATCTTCCGTCCTTTATTTTAAAAATAAAATAAAACAAAAAACTGCTCAGCAGAACAGCCCGAACCACGAGCAGCAGCAGCGCTATCGATGCAGCACTTGGAGCCGTTCCTGCTATAACACCAGCGGTGCTTTGCACGCCCACAGCACCCTGCACCCAGCGATGGAACGATGCAGTGACACACTGCACACACCCTCGCTGCTCAGGAGAGGAGGTTAACGTCATTTCTGTCTTACAAGTGGGGAAACAAAGACAAGGAGTGAGCAAAAACCAAATCAGCGCCAACAAGTGCTAGTGATGGGTCCTTGCACTGCTCTGGGGACCACGCTGGGACCCACCAAATGCTTTTCTCCATCAGAGGAGAACTATGCTGAAGCTGGGGCAGATCCGTGCTGCTGGGACCCCTCCCGGGCCCTGGGCTCCCCCGCATTCACCATGCCGAGCCACAGCCTGACCACGCACAACCCCATCCTGGTCCCAGCAGCTGAGCTCAGACAATCCAAGGGGAGATGTCATGTCCTGCTGCTCTCCTGCCCTGCACGAATGACCCCCAACACGCTCCTCGGCACCTTGCCTACACCAGAACACACCCCCCCAAAGAGGAGCACGTGTTACTTTGGGAGCTTTATTTGCCCATCCCCTGTTACATGCCTATTTTCTAATTTTCGGTTGACATTTTTCTTAGTGAAATAAATGAATTGACTCCAGTGGAGGCCCGTTCGGATTAAGCGGCTGTCACCGCCTCGCCTGCCTAACAAATGGCTGCGCGCAGGCGGCAGCGCCGGCTGAATTTCAAGTGCGACGGGGAGCAGAGGGGGCAGAGAGGCTCAGCATCAACAGCAAGGTGCTCATCAGAAAAGTTGCTTAGCAAAGCAGGAACTGCAGTGTGGAAGGAAACAAAACATCTAATGAAAGCTTAAAGGTCTGCTTAACCCCTCCGAGAGAGCATCCGAGCACCTCGTCCCCTTTGGTGTTGGACTGGCATCCCTGGCCAGGCACCATCCACCCCCAGAGCCCTTCCTGCAGGTGGAGAGATGCTGCTTGGGGTCTGGATGAGTTATTGTCCTCTTGTGTGTTTGCTGGAGGTCAGGGAAGGGGCTACTCACTGTTCTGCGACGATGTACTGCTCGGGCAGGGGCGTGCACGGCACCCCCGCCACCTGCACCCCGTGGGCGATCTCGGAGAAATCCAGACCCAGGTTCACACCACGGATGGTCACCCTGGTCCCTCCTTCTGGGGGGCCCGACACTGTCAGGATCTAGAAGGAAACAAAACACAGGAAGGTGAGCTGAGACCCTCACAGAAGGATATGACTGGCTCCTTTTTTTCTATCTACAGAAGATGGAAAGTGACCTTCCAGAAGTCGCCTGCTGCTTTGGAGAACTTGGTGAACTTCTGCCTTGGCTGTTCTCTGAACGTTAATGTCACATTTTATTAGTAAGTTGGCACCTCAAATGAGTTCCAAATGTTAAAGGGTGAGGTGTGTGCTTTAAAGCTGCCTGTTCATAGCCTGTCTCAGCCACCATCATCTCTGCTTCTACGGACTTTCATTAGCGACAATATCCTCTTCAATTAGGAGTATAAATTACAATAATGTCTAGTCACAGAATTTGGACCCGAGACTCTCAAGCAGTTGTCCTGAATCTGCCAACGGTCTGTTGTTGCTCTTGGGTGAGTTACTAATCTTCTCCGTGCTACAGCTGTTATTAATAAATAAACATAATCCATAATAATGCAATTTAATTAATTTAATGGAGAAATCTTGTTTACGCTTGTTTGTTCCACTCTTGTCTTTGGCAAAAGATCTGAGCTCTTCAAACCCTTTTCCTTGGCATTTCTGGATGGATGGCTGCTTTTCTTCCACCTTCTTAAGAGCTCGCTGTTCCCTGGATGTGAGCGGGTTGGGAAGGCAGCAGCCCCATCGCAAGAGCCCGTCCTGGCAACCCGCTGCACCGCAGGCTGAGCGTGCTCCAACGCAGCCCCCGTGGGACCCTCTGCACCTTCCAGTGCCCTGATCTCCGCAGGACCCCCTTCCCACCCCGTGTACCCTGCTAATGCCATCAGGCCACCCTTGTTACCCATCACTTCTGCGGTTTCAAGTGCTCCCCTGCATCTCCCCACATTTCAAATCTCATCTGAAGCCATTTTCCTTCTCCATTGCTTATGCCTCCTAACTTCTTTCTCCCTCCCTCTCCCCCTGCCCGCACCACTGCGGTTTCTAATTTATTCACCATCCACTGTCTGTTGTGCTGCTGTTTTCTGTAACTCATACCGTGTGGCACGTCTTGTATCATTTAGCTCTGCAAAGCACTATGTGCCCATAAAGATGCTACAAAATCCAGGCGTACGGCATCACACCGAGTCCTGCCGCCCTGCGCTGATGTTTACATCGCTAGCTGGGAATACCTGAACCCGGCAGTTCACGGACTTGACAGTTACAAGTGTCCTTTGCAGCTCTAGATTATGTTAAAACGCGTTTGCTGGAGCACTTACACTGCTGGGCTCGTTGTCTCATCACTGCTCATCCCAGTTTGCCATTTCCCGACCTTACCACAACCAGCAGAGCCAGCCGGCCTCCCCACACAAAGCCCAGCCCGTTCGGTATTTTGAAAATGTCCTGACCTGGAAAATCCCCAATACGGAGCTCCACTCGACCTAGATTTTAGTGGTCGCTAATTGAACAGTTTTGAAGTAACTGTGCCATAAAGCAGCCCCAGGGTTAGAACAGATGCATTCAATTAATTACAGCTGGAGAGATTCAGTCAAAATCACAGAAAGATGATCAGTCTTAAAGGTCCCGTCACACCGAGCGCTGGTGACCTCTCTGAGCATCACCCGGCCGGCAGCATCCCGGGTCACCTCGTCGTGGTGCAGACACTCGGCCAAGGCACCGCCAGCAAACCCAGCCTGGGGCAGCCGCCGGCAGCGGGTCTGCCCTAACCCAGGGCTGCAGGGCTGGCTGCGAGCTGCTCGGGCTGCAGGGCTGGCTGCAATGACAATCCTCGGAGACAGACAGGATTAAGAAGAAATGTTCCCCAATTTCAAGAAATATACAGTGGCTTTGTGTGCAGAGGTTTGTGGGGGACCAAAAGAACCTGCAAAGGGCAGCTGAGGAAAAGCAAGGCCATCACCAGGAATTGCACATTTACAGTTTAGGGGTCTGCTGGAAGTTTTTTAAGTTGTTTGCAAAACAGTATGAGAGTCACTGAGATCTCGAGTAGGGTCTGGGAGGTTGGGACTTTAGTTTTGCTGATCCCCCAAATTATTCTGAGCAGGTCACCTCTCCCCTCTGCCCCAGCCTCACCTTGCACAAAACAAATAAGCAATCCACTGCCTCAAATAACGCATGTTCCCGCTGCACAGGGGAAGGATTGTGCTGTTCACAGCCAGGATCCAAGTGCAGAGGTGAAGCGGTCGGTGGTAGAGCTCAGCCACCCCTACCCTCTGCCCTTGCACCAGGTAAGGGATGCAGATGCACCGCTGCATCTCTGGTGTTGCCGCTTCCTACTTGAACCCAAAGTGGGGATCCCAGGGATCTCCGCGGCTGGGATCTGGGGGATCCCAGGGATCCAGGAGCCCCACACAATGCCAGCACGCCTCCCCTCCCAGCCTGCAGAAGACACTGCTCTAACAACGCAGGATAAATGTTCTCAGCCTCGCATCTTGCCGGCTGCACGGTTCAGCGTTTCTGACGTAAAGCCACATTTAGCCTCCAGAAGAAGTCTGTGCTCGAGACAGGGAGACCCAGGACTGGCTGCAAGTGGGACAGGGATCTCCCAGAGCTGGAAGCAAGCTGTGAGCCTCAGACCGTTCTGCACAATAACCACCCGGCATCTGTCGGGGTGCAGAGCCAGCGCCCTGCTTGCAGAACGAACGGCATAACCCCTGCCCCCTCCCAAAATGTCATCCACCTTCGTTCTCTTTGTCTTTTTTTTTTTTCCTCCTGCTCTAAGCTAGCTGGATCCCAGCTGATGAGCCCAGCAGGGAGCCGGCACAGAAGCACTGTCATCCCTGCGTGATCCCTCCTCTCCCTGCCTTAGCTGATAGCGCATTCAGAACCTAATTGTTATCTCAGCAGAGCAACTCCATTATTCAGCCTGACACTGCCCCCCCTTCAGCTGTTTGTTGCGCTGATGTTATATTAATGAAGCCTGCAAATAAATGAATCGGAGATCAGAGTGCCACTTGTTTGCAAGAAAACTGATTTTTATTTATTTATTGCTCAGACCACAGACCGGGTGGAAGTTTTATGCTGTTAAAGGGACACTGCTGGTGACAGCTGGGTCTCTCACGCAGAAAAAGAAAAGGGCTGTGTACATCCTACTGCTCATTCACTTGTAGGACTAAGGAGTGGAAACAGCCCATATTAAAGGCTCTTTTAGTTGGAATGATCCTGGCTGCACTGCAAGCCCTGGTGTATGCAGGATGGAGAGCATGTCACCAGTGCCTGCTTGGAGCCTGCCAGCACCGGACACTGCAAATCGGTACCCAAAATACTGCAGAACCTGGGATGGCAGTGAAAAGGACCCAACAGCAATGAGGCTGTACAGGTCTCTCTCCAAGACAATCTCGTGCCCTTTTCTGGAGGGGAAGGGGGATGAGAGGAGTTAACCTGTGCAGTTGAAAGGTCTGGGTTTAGGAATACTGACCCTGAAGGGTTTCTACTGGGGCTTTGACATTTTCCGTAGACCTGGATGCTCAAGAACTTGGCAAAATTCTGCAAGAGTTTTTAACCCTATACAGTGTCCTTCCCGTCCGTGGATCTCAGAGCACACAAAAAGGCCACAAGTTCCCCTGCTTTCCCTCTTCTTCCTCTTCTTCAGCAATGAAAACTGAAAACTTGACTTTCATGAAAAAAAGCCCCAAAAGCTGTGAATTCATAAGGAGAAGGGTGGGAGGTGGAGCTCAAGGAAAACCACCCAACGCTGCAAGACCTGTGATAAAATCACAGCAGCTCGCAGCGCTGCCAGAGCCAGCAGAAGCCATGGGACAATACACCCCCAAAACCTGCATTTTCTATCGCTGACCCTCACCGGGGACTAAGCCAGTCCTCTAACGAAAGCACAGACATTTCCCACCCGATTCTCCCATCTCCAAATCCTTTCGGGGCAATCTCCTGAGACCCAAAACATCCCCTGGCAAGGGACCCCGTGCTTCCTGATTTGAAAGCTGAGACACAGACCTGGGTACGGAGACAAGAGATCTGTAACAGCACAGCTCTGCTCTTTTCTCCTTGGCCAGAGACCAAAAGTATTGCTTTCAAGTTGGACAGTGATAAAACGCTCGGTGGCAGTGCCGTGCCCGCAGCCAGCCTCCAGAACCAGCCTGGCAGTGCCTCAATGCGAGTCACTCGGTGGCTGGAGCAGAAGACCTGCTTAGCTCAAGGAGGGGTAAATAAATACATCTAAGACTTCTTCAATGTTACAACTGTCCGAATGGTTCATGATGAAGAAAATCTCAGGCAGAGGCTATTTTGCTTCTTTCATCTCGCAGCATAACCTCGTGCAAGCAGAGCAGCACTCGGATAAGGAAAGTTTGGTTTCTGACTACTGGCAGGTGGAGGTGAATATCCAGACAAGCCTTTAAGGCTCATTTTATCTCTCTGTAAAGATAGCTATGACTTGCCAAACAAACAAAAACTCAAACAAGGAAAGGACAGACTCTCAACTCTCCTTAACGCTCCCACATCTCTGCACAGTCAGCACCGCCACCACCTCTGCTCCTCCGCGGCCGCACAAGCCCCACGCTGCATTTACAAAACACTGCCCTGGAGAAACAGCTGCCCATCAAAGGCAGAACGTGGCTAGGCTGAAAGTCTGAGAAAGAAATACTGATGGCCTGGTAACACCCCTGTGGGATGGACGGACTCTGGTCAGCAACAGCCTGCTCCAGCCAGCCCCAGCCCTGACACAGCATCACTGCGGTTTCCTTCCCTCCTCCGTACAAAGGAGGCTGATGCCTTCCTCCCAGGGGGTCTGAGCACGAGCCGGTTTAGCCAAGCTGGTGTAGAAACTCATCTGAGTTCAGAGGGACGGTCCAGACGCACTGGGGTCTGTACTCAGCTGGCAGAAGTTCATACGCTGAGGAGCCCTGCTCCTGCCCTGCCAGGTGTTTCCATAGCCACGAGCATCAGTGCCCCAGGCAGCTGTGATCCTGCGCTGCTTTACACCCCTGCCCTCCGCCTGCTGCAGTACGGAGACACGCGTAGGGCAAGGGAGGCTTTTTTGGGGAGTTAATTAACTGAGAACTCAAAATTTGCTTTCATTCCCACCTGATACAAGTGTCACTCCTAATAGTAACGTTAACAGACCGAGGGCAGTTTTACTGGTTAAAATGCTCCTGGGAGACATTCTGCATCCCTCAGTGGTCTGAACAGAAACACCAGAAGCATCAACTATAGACTAATTAGCAACCTAGTGTAATT